CATTTGGAAAATCGAATCAAGAAAAAACATGACTTTGAAAAGAAAAGAACTTTTCAAGTGGAAAATTTTTCTGCAAAAATTTTCTCCAAAAGTTTCCAACCTTCTTACGGCATAAAAATATTGAACATAAAGTTCATCTTTTCTCTGAGTGTTTACAGAAAATTTAAATTTGAGAAAAACTTTGTTATTCTTGAATTCAATTGATTATGGTTCGACTATTCAACGATTTGTTCTGTTTGAATAAAATCTTTCTATTCGAACCTTTTCTTCCAACTTTGTGATTCAGATTGAAATTGAAAATCAAATATTCGCATCACTCCAACGTTTGACGTAAAAACGTTTGATTTGATCAACTTTTGTAATCAGTGGAAAAGCAAAAAGTAATTCTGAATCTCTTTTGTTCATAATTGTAATAATTGAATTATGCATTATTCAGACCATAAAAGAACAAAAGTTTTCTTTTTTTCTCTCTCTTTTCAGCCTTTTCGCTCCTTCTTCCACAGAATATTATTATGAATAAATTCTGTTTCAATTTGGCCTTTTGCAACAGACTTCATCTGATTGTTGTCAAATTTCTATAACTTCACAATCAGGTTAATACTCGTTTGGAATCATTTCATTTCATCTTTCATTAACATTTATTCAACCTTTTTATTTTACGTTTTTTTTTGCTTCGAGTTCAGTTTTTGTGAAATCAAAGATGAACAGAAGGAGAAAAAATGAAACGCTTTTCCAGTTGAACTTTAATGCATTATTATCGTGTTCATCATTGCCTGAATACTGAATGGAAAATGTTCATTTCAAATTTTTATCTCCATTTCCATTGAAAGTGAATGCAAAATGTATATTTCTTTATTCCAAGTCAATCAGACCATTGACTTACTCATTTGAATTATAATAGAATCGTGATTTTTTCATGATAATTATAATAGTTGCAATCAGCTTTCTAGGTGGAAAAGAAGAAAAGGAAAATTAATTCAGAAAAGAAGGATTGAAGGTAATTTTGCTTGGAATAATTTTCCAAATAAATTGGAATTTGTTTGAGTTGAAAGTTGAAATGAAATCTTTATGAACATGTTTCAATCAAATATAGCTTTACCAAAGGTAATCGCAGGGAATTTGTTCAACAGAATTGATGGCAATATTTGCTCAACTTTTGTACTCAACTTAAGCTTCAAATTGACTTGGCATCAACACTTGCATAGGCCAAAGTTTCAAGTGCTTCTAAGTTTGTGCAAGTTCACAGACGTCAAAAATTGTGCATTGTTTGGCGTCAATCAAAGCTCGATCTTGAATCGAAGTTTTGATCCTAAAAAGCGACGATCCTGACACATGAACATTTCAGCTTAACCAGCTTGCAGTTTGTATCATTCACTGGATAAACATTTACTCCAGTTACGAAGTTTAATGATGTTCGATGAAGAAATGCGAAACTATTGAAGAACAGCACAAATGAAACAATTTTTATAAACAATTACTCAACATTTTCAATTGTCAAATGTAAACTGGGAAAATTGTGAAAAATTTATACCAAATTTAAACGGAAGGGAGCATGAAACATTAAATGAAGGAAAAGATTAAGAATTTAATTCGAGTCAGTTTCAAATGGAACTTTTGTTCATTTTTAGCTTTTCGTGAAAAAACTATTTCAAGGCAACCTTATCTTCAATAGTGTACAAAATTCATGCAATTTATCAATTGTTGAGTGAAAATGAAGTTGATTGGGAAAACTAATATCAAACACACTTGCACAGTGAAAACCAGAAAAGACATTTACTCATTCATCCATCTAAATTTATCATTTTCTGTGGACCACAATTCCGTTTGATATTTTATTGTTTTTCAACTCTAGCCAATTCTCCTCGTTGAAAGCCATCAATTGAAAATTCACACAAACTTGCATTTGAACGAAAAATGGAAGAAACGCAATTTTCGCAATTGCCATGCAGCTACCAAAACTGTTCACCAATAGCTTCAGCGAACTCAAACAAAGCTAATGTTGCATGACTTTGGAAGCAACGATTGAGCGAAAGCCACTAATGGCCCAATGTCACAATCAATATGTTTCTTTTACTTTTCAATCTCGAATCATGATGAGTATATTAGGAAAAGATCAATATTCAGTGTTACTCATGAGATATTTTTTACTTGAATATATATTTAGATTTTGTGAATCACGCAATTTCCAAATAATGACATGAAACGATCAAGAAGATAAGAATGGTTGGAAATCGACAAAAATCTCATTTTTCATTTTTCTCCTCATCAGCAGCAAATAAGAGACAATTATTGTCAAAATCAATGTCATTATAATTGCTTGGAATGAACTTGATTCAGATAAATTGGATTATCATGGAAAATGTAATGATCTTTTCCATCGAAATTGTAACTCAGTAATTATCAACAATATCGAATCACTTTTCGCTCTTCATTAACTCGAAAATTCGGTAATCAATCGTTTCCACTCAAAAGTCAAGAATGCCAACTGAATCATGAACTGATAGAATTTGAAAATTGCAATTTTTCCATTTTCATCTCTTCTTCATTAGATAATATTGTCTCTATAAATCAATAAATAGTTCAACTAAAACTGTTCGATAAATTGTTGAACATTGATTACAAGATTACAAGCTAAGCTAATATTTTCATTTTTAAAACTTTTCCTCATTCGTTGGCTTAAAAAGTTAAATTCATTGTTCATCTTGTCAACAATCATTTTGATAATTTCACGTTTTAAGAAGATTTAGATTTACTATTTTCTTAAAACTGTTATTTCTTCAACAATGAAAGTGAAAAATGAACTTTGAAAAATGAAAATTTTTCATCATTAAAGAGGTTTGGAGTGAAGAAGTGAAAAGAAACTGGCAAAAATTCAACTTTGATGATCATCTTGTTTGGATGAATCATTTGGAATGAAGAAATGATTTTAAAATCAATATTTTCCAACAAGCGAAAGAAAAGCTGGAAAATCGAAAAGGAAAATTTCATTCAATTTTCCAAGAAAAAAAATGAAATTAAACTGTAATCCAATTTAGCGTCGCAATTAGCTGCATACTTGGCCTTAGTTAAGCTTGTTAAAGGGCAACAAATTGAGTGACAATGTTTTGATCACAAATTGAATAAAGTTGATATTGAAGCTGATTCAATCCTCACTTGAATTGAACTTTTCCAGACAAGCTATTAATTGTAATCAAATATTTATTATCACAAGAAAAATGTTGCTCTAATCTTATAAGAGTATAAAATTCAATATTGATGAAACTTCGAAACTCAATGAAAAGGATCAACTTTGCTGTCAACAGAATCTTTATCTTTTATATTAAGAAATGACAATATTTTCTCTTGACGTATCATTAGTAACGAACAGGGTAAAAAGTGTTCAATTTTGGACTTATTTTTATCCATTTCAACTTTGGACGAGACTTGCAATCAGACGACTCTGATTATTCAACTGAAACTGTACAATGCAATCATTTGTTTACTCATGTCATTAAATGAAATTTTTTTTTGCCTTCGCCTTACCTTTAGGCTAAATTGAATGTTACTCATGATGACAAGGTATGAAGATGTGAATTATTATCATCAACTAAATATGACCCTGTAATTGGATTGATGATCATGTTTACGTTGAATAAAGTTGTAGAGAGAAGAGTCGAAAAGACGTTTTTTTTCTTCTTCTCTTGCAAAGAAGAAACTTTGCTCAATTGATGTGTGAACATGGATGTTGTATTAAAGTACATATCAAAATGAACATTGTTTAGCAGTTTTTTTCTTTCTGCTCTGCTCTCGTCTTGATATAAACCAGATAGAGATGAGGTTGAAGGAAATTATTTGATGAGATTTTGTTCATAAGTTATAAACACTTTGTCCAAAAAGGATTCTGATTATCCCTAAAGGGAAACAAACATGATTTTCTCGCTTAACTTTTTTTTCCTTCTTCTTTGCTTCCCTTTCCCATTCTCGCGTCGATGATAATGTTAATACAAAAGATGATGGTGAAATGGCTTAACTCAACACTTAAGGCTTTGGATGCTGTAAGACAAAAAGTTTAGTCTCATATCGGGATGCAACATTTATATTACAATCAATGATAAACTTATTTTTTTGTCTTTTCCAAGTTCAGTTTCAGTGCAATACAAACTTGCAAAAGGCAATTGACGCTGACTAACCGTAGACCTAAGCCCCTCGCTAGCTCTTACAGCAAGGGAATGTCTTTATTTGGCTTAGGTGAGAGTTGGTATAAGGGTCGGCTTGACTTGCGAGAAAATTTCCATTGACTGAATGATATTAAAATGAGCTTCAAGTAAAGGTTCTCTTGCAGTAAGTGACATCTAAATATTGCATTGAAACTATTGAAAAAGATTTCAATTGAATTTTCAGATTATTAAGCTGCTGCAAGAATGAACAATGTTCATTATTAGCGTTGCTGAAAAGCTAAAGATGCAATAAAAATTTGAGCGTAAAATGTAATAGAAAAGTTGTTGAAATCAATCTTCAATAGATGGCGATGAATGTAGTTTTTGGATTAAACTTTAAACAGTCAGTAGCCGCCATCTATTGGAATATTATTAAGCCATCGTTAAGCCATGAAACTTCAATAAAATTGATTGAGTGAAGCAAACATTTTTACTCGATACACATTTGAGTTTTGCTTGTAAATCAAATAATTTCTTGACTTCATTACCCACCAATGGAAATGCATCGAGTTTGGCTCAGAATTTTAGTCTAGCATTTCAGTGTTTCTACATGAACACTTGGAATGATGAAACTTGAATTCCAATGCAAAACTTTTCAAGAAATAACATTTTTCTCATGAATTATTGGACAACATTTATTGCCTTTAAAAGTTTTCGTTTTACTCAATGAAAAGTGCTGACATTTTGGACGGCTAAATGAAACAAAATATTGTCATTGGTGGCAAAGGGTTCATATTGCAATTTTTACAATTTTTGAATGTTTTTAGACAATTTACTAATTTTTACTCTCATCTTTTATTGCAGCCTCCCAAGTCATCATTACGTTTATCATCCGACGGCAGCGTCACCTTACATTACCACTGGACCTAGTATATTGTTACCTCAACCTCAACCTGCAGCACCAGCGCCAATCACAACGACACACTTTTTTGATTATCCGCCAGTAGGTTTTCCGGGTCAGTTTGCCAATGGAGCTGAGCCCAGTGCAGCCAACTTTGCTGGTCTCAGTCCTCATCATCACCATCATCATCATCATGCACACCATCCAGGAACTACAGCTGCCCTTGGCACTGCAGCATTAGTTGCAGCAGCCGCATCAACAGCAGCCAATCCAGTTAATCAACAAACCCTTATCAATGGAACACATTTTTCTTTCCCTTTAGGGACTTATCCACCTTGAAATGATTCCAATGATTCTCAAGTTATACTTCACCATCAAGCCATAATCATTCAACTTCAACTCCCATCTCTAACCAAACAGCAAACATCGCCATTATCATAGCCATAAACAAACAACAGCCACAAAAAGAGAGTCCAACAAGTGCACAATATGGAAAGGGACGAAACAAAATCGAATCTTTGTCACAAAAAATACAAAGCAACAGGTGTTATAATTAATTTAATGAATTAACTAATTTATGGTAGGATTTAGATTGTTAGTTATCCTTTCATTGTCTCCTATAATGTAATCTCATATGAAGTTGACTTTTTATTAAAGCAAGAAGAAGCAGAAGATTCAATGAAAATTGTATGATGAACCAAGATGACTCAGTATGAATAAAAAGACTGACGAAATAAAAGTTGAATTGATTTGTTTTCTGTTGATTTCTGGACAATAACATTATGCCAATTATTCAGTCTTCAATTGTTAACATTCATGACAATACGAAATAATAAACTGTAATAAACTACTGATTATTAAAAATTTAATTATTCTTAATTATTGCATTTGCGAAAAAACCGAAATAAGAAATGTCTGAAAATCGCTTTGTATTGTTACTAATGTTGAATTGGTAATAAAGCTCGGTAGCATTTGGCTGATATACTTCAGATATACAAAAGCAAACTGTTCACCTCTAGTAAATATGATGCTAGCAAGCTCGAAGCATTAGCTTGGAAAATTACATTTTATAAGATTCGGTTGATCAAATGATAGATACAAAGTTGAAAATTGATGAATATAATATTGAAGATCGAGTATTGAAAGATAAGTCATTCTATTAGTATGTGTTAGATCACTACAGGTATTTCAGCAATTTTTACCGATGTTAAACGGCTATAACTTGGCCTGTGATTGACCGGGAAATTTCTTATGGAAATTTAACATACTCAATTGTCATATGTCAAGGTCAAGGTGATCCAAGGTCTTTTTTCGGAAATCGCTCATAACGATATTAGAGGTTAAACTAAGGTCATAACGTAACTTGTAAATTTGACTTTCAGTTTTTTGCTGGTAAAATAAAAAATGCCTAGTAATTTCGAATTTTAGCATCATTCAAAAGTGCATTAACTATGAGTAAACATTAATAATAGTTATAATTTTTATTTTCATTTTTTTACCCATTTTTCCCCATTTTTGTTTCAGAGTTTTGTCAGTTTGGGTCAATTTGTGCATAAAAGCATCAATTGTTGCTATTTGTGTCTTTTAAGCAACAAATCTCAATGTTTTTAGATAATATATATTTGGACTTGGATAAAATTATTAATAATAGTTATAAACCTTTAAGAAATACTCGACATCAGTGCAGAAAAGATCTTAAGTTCTGTTTATCGATCAGACGTTCATTCCTTGGTCACAAAACTGTACAAAAGTCGATTGAAGTTTCATATTTGAACACGAGTTCCTCAAAAACTGTGGATCAGAGCCAATTTTTGATTACACTTGTGACTGGAGAACAGGGTAAGCGAGAACTGGAGCTGATTTGGTGAGGAGGCACTCTGGGGTTCAGTCAGGTTGGACTGATTCGACCAGAGGTAGACTTAGTAATAAGTGAGCTGGTTAAAGATGAAGAACTGAGTGATTTTTCATGTGAAAAGTTATGATTTATATACAAATAAATAAGGGAGCCAAGAGAATGCTATTGGACCCTTAGACGGTCACAAAAACACTTGTTATCATGTTTTTCCCCTTTAAGCGGCAAGGTAAGGTCAAAATCGAGGTTTGGAGAAGGAGTCTAAAATTGATGCGAATGAGTGTGTGCAAAGAGATCAGTTGATAAATCTGCAAATTGCAAAATCTTGCAATTGAATGGAGTTTCTAATGCATTATTTGTCGTTTTCTTGGTCAAAAATACGCAAAGTAGACAGTTGTTCGAAAAAGTATTCATATTTTATTGTAATATTGCAAGTTTCATGTGACTTGAGTGTAAGAAGCAAGTAAAATGTACAAAAATTGTTCTGGTTAACCAGTAAATTGTAATTATTTTAGTTCGAAGTGCAACCTAAAACTTTTTTCAATCAACAATTGTCAGCCTAAGTCAATTAAACCTTCAACTTTGAAGATTAAATTTACTCGTGTTCATTGAGTATTAAGGTAATCAAAAGAAACAACCAAAAAACATCTCAACATTAACAAGAATCTTCATCTTGATGCTTCTGTTTTTATGGATACAAGATTCTTGTCTGATGATATTGAAGATATTGAAGATCGAGTATTGAAAGATTAGTCATTCTATTAGTATGTGTTAGATCACTACAGGTATTTCAGCAATTTTTACCGATGTTAAACGGCTATAACTTGGCCTGTGATTGACCGGGAAATTTCTTATGGAAATTTAACATACTCAATTGTCATATGTCAAGGTCAAGGTGATCCAAGGTCTTTTTTCGGAAATCGCTCATAACGATATTAGAGGTTAAACTAAGGTCATAACGTAACTTGTAAATTTGACTTTCAGTTTTTTGCTGGTAAAATAAAAAATGCCTAGTAATTTCGAATTTTAGCATCATTCAAAAGTGCATCAACTATGAGCAAACATTGCAAGCAAAAACACTCACTTTTTCATCGTCTGACGAACTCTCTATAACGAGGTTTGAAGCCAATTATCAATCATTAGAAGTACAACTTATTTTTGAGCGCTACAACAATTATCTTCAGATTAGAAATAATTTAACTGATTTGTAACGGTCAAGAGAATCAAGTTAATATGGTTTGCATAATCACATCACATGAAAAATTAACTGTTTACCTTTCAGAGTCTCTTTTAATTAGTTAAAAGGTGTCGTTGCTTCATTTAAAATAAGTTAAATACAATGTTTTAATTCACTTTCAGGTTTCACCTGTGAGCTGTCCTAATTGATTTCACACTATTCAACACCCAAATCCACCTCTATTACTTTTTTCAATTCTAAGTGTACTCCGCCGATACTCAATTGTCATATTTCAAGGTCAAAGTGATCCAATGTCATTTTCGGAAATCGCTCACTACAATATGCGAGGTCGAACTAAGGTCATAACATAACTTGAAAGTCAAATGTTCGTACTGGTCAAGTCGCGTCATTCTGGCATAAGTGCTTGGGTCCCTTGCCTACCGGTAAAAGCTCCCTAGCTTTAAAGTTTGTGCAGTTGGTCTCTTTGAGCTCATCTACGGTTTGAGATGGTTCGCACAAGGTATATACGACAGGAAGGTTTACAGGTTGAGGTTAATATGGAGAAATGTTCTCACATGATGAATCACTTGTTGCCCTTAAAGTAGACTACTTTTATGTGACCAATCTATTACCAGAACTTGATATTCATCCATACTGAAATACTGATACCATTTGGAATACTGGGCTTTTCTTTTCCATTTTACTTCTGTTTGTAGGCATAACTCTCGAAAAGTTAATGCTACACACCTCAGAATTGAACCATTGATCTGAATTGCAGAAATCGCGCCAATTGCAGATGCATAAATTCGAATTCTCAAGGCATTCAAAGTCAATCCATTATTCGACCTTGAATTGAACTTTGTAGGGCATTTGTTGCGAATAAAAATTTTTCGGATAGGTTAAGCCTTTTAAATGTTCATACTGGTCCAAGAATTTGAGTGTTTCCATACCGTTAGATTGATCAATTTGTTGCGAGAATAGTTCGGTTATCTTTCATATGACAAGTGTTGTGAACATCTAACAAACAAAAACGATCTTAAATATTCATTCTCAGCAAATAACCTTGAGAGTTTGCGTTTATGGTTCTGCAATCTCTAGAAGCTCATGGTTCAAGTCTGTGATCTGTAGCATCAACCGTTCGAGAGATATGCCTATGCCTTTACAGGTATATCAAACAGGCGTAAAATGAAAAAGGAACGTTCGGTGTAAAAGACGAATCTATTGTAACATCAGGTCCAGAGGAATGTAAGGAAACAAAATCAACAGAATCAATTACAAGATGGCTTGGCAGTCGTGGTTAAGTTTCAAATCTAGATCTGATTGTAACTCTTACTTATGACTTGAATTTTAAATCTACGTCCCCTCTTTTTATTTAAGGTTTTGACGGATAAGGAGGATTTCTTCAATTTTTTTATCTTCATTGTTTCTTCGTAATTTCAGGAAATATACTCATTTTTATCCGCAACACCTTTACTTCTTCTGATATAATGATCGACGAAAAGTCATCAGTAATATCAGTTAGAATACTGCAACTTTTAATAACAAAATCGGAAAAAGTATGCCATCACAAACTGCCAAGCAAAAATAACAGAGTCAAATACAATTACAAACTAACTGCCTGAACATGTTAGTCTTGCACGTCTTGTAGCTGCCTTTTCGGCCTTTCTAAAGTTATGGTTTAATAATAAAAATAAAAATCTGACCAAAAAGCCCCTGAGACTGAAAAAACTCAATTTTAAACATTTCAATTTCATTTGAATTTTAGTTCGCAAGAATAGTTAAAAATGCAAGTCTTTGATATGTAAAAAATGTGCAAGAATTTGGTTTATATTTCACAATTTAAATCTTTGATTTTCTTAACTCACTTTGTCAACACCAAAGAGTTTAATCAACCTTTCATCGCCATTGGTAATGCAACCTTTGTGTTTCCTAGACAACTCTAGTTTCAAATTTTATTTAAGAGTTTGTCAATTGCTTTTAAAACCAGTCTCGCAACTTGATTTACCCACAAATATTGTCTGATCCAAACATTAACCATCCACCATTCCTCATCATCATTTTAACCTGTGTTTTAAAACTCAACAGCCATGGAGGAAACTAAAAAGCCACTCAAGATATTGATGACAGCAATGTTCGAGTAAGTATTACATAAAGATGGTTGAGTTTCAAAAGATAATAACAATTTCTCTTACAGTTTCGGTCATCTCAGCTCGTGTCTAGGAATTGGTTACTTTTTGGTTAAACGTGGTCATCAAGTGTATTTCGCTCATTTCCCAAAGTACCAGTCAATCATTGAAAGACAAGGAATGCAATTCATTTCACTTTATGACTATGCCGATGAAGGTGCAGAGCTGAGTGACGCTGTTCCTCGAAGTTCAGTCAACTTTAAACCTCGTTTTGAGCGGTCATTGAAAATGGGTCCTTTTGAATCTCTCAAAGAGCAACTTGCAACTGGTGCTATCAATACTGGTTTTATTAAAATCCTTGACAACTACATAACTGAAAATGATATTATGCACAAAATTGTTGGTCAACTAGAGCCCCAGATTTGTCTCGTTGATTACCTTTACCCTTTACCCTGGATGTACTTAGTTGACTGTCCAGTTGTACCAATCAAGTCAACCAATCCAGTTGGCCTTTACAGTCGTGGTCCACCACCAAACTCTGGATTTTCAGTTAAGGAATCAACAAAGGACTGGACCGAGTTTAAAGATATCAATAACGAAGTAAACATACTAATTTTGGAAAAGATTGTAGAGATTTTCAAACAATATGAAGTCCCACTCATTCACCGAGATCATGTTAAAGACCTTGGTATCTACATTTATCCCGAACCAATAGACTACCGTGAATTGGGTCCACCAAGAAATAGGTGGGTTCGACTTGATTCAGCTTTACGAGAACATGATACAGAAGAGTTTGAGATACCAGAGAAACTTAAAGATAAACCAGGAAAATTGATTTATGTCTCAATGGGAACAATGGCTTCAACTGTAACTGAACTACTAACCATGATATTGACTCCATTGGCCAACTCACCTCATCGTTTCATCGTCTCAACAGGTCCTAATGGTGACTCAATCACGCTATATGATAACATGTGGGGAGACAAGTTTGTCAACCAAATGGCCATTTTACCCAAAGTCGATCTATTCATAACTCATGGAGGAAGCAATTCGCTGATTGAAGCCTTAGCTGCTGGTGTACCATGTATAGTCATTCCCCAATTCGGTGACCAACCAGACAATGCTCAACGATTAGCCGATCTCGGTTTAGGTGTGAGGTTAAACTTGCATGAATTTAGTGATGAGAAGCTACTAAAAGCCATTGAAGATGTGCTCAATGATGAAGAGCTTCATTCAAAGGTTACTCGAGCAAGTGAAAGGCTGAAAAGTACAGATTCAAGAGATAAAGTTATCTCGCTCATTGAAGAGCTGGCTGAAACCGGATCAGTACTATTTTAAAAGTTCATTTGTACTCATTTTTTAATCGTTTTTAATAAACTCTTTTAATGTGAAGCTAATCAACTCGCTGTCTCTCCTTGAAGCCACAACATCTGCAACTAGTTGCTCCAGTTTGATTGTTAGTCATCAGATGGAGACAGAGTGTTTTCTGTTGAATTTCAGTTCCCATGAACACTCAGCTTTATCATCACGAAAGTTTACTGTACAAATCGTTTTCTCCCTTTTCTCTTTCTCTCTCTCTCAAGATCAGTCTCAGTTTGACTCTGCCAGTTGAGGCAGTTTTATCAACTAGTGAACTGCGAGTTTAATAAAAAAACAAATTTGCCATTCTCATTGAATATAAATAAATGATAGGCAAACTCATGTATACTTACATAAATAGGGAAAATACAATTGGCTCGAGTTGTTTAACAATAGCGTTAAAGTTTGAGTTATGTTTTATAATATTGTGATTAAAGTGATATGAAGAGACAAAATATCCGAACTCTTTCACTGATTGTCTCAACGTTTACCTATTTGCTCGTTGGAGCTGCCATTTTTGATGCCTTTGAATCGGAACATGAAGTTATCCAACGGAATGCCCTTGAAACCATCGAGTCAATGTTGAAACGTAAATACAACATGTCGGAACAAGATTTCAAAATATTGACCACAGTAGTGATTAAAAGTGTACCTCATAAAGCCGGAGTCCAATGGAAGTTCGAAGGAGCCTTTTATTTTGCTACAACAGTTTTAACAACAATAGGTAACTATCGATGAAACCCGACGTCCAAAACATCAGAAAAGATCAAAATCATCGAAGAAAAAAATTCGCTTTTCTCTCAATAGACGAGCTCAACAAGTCAAACTTGGACCCAAATTTGAACGAAATTTAAGCTAAAAATATTTTCCCTCTTTTCCAGGTTACGGACATTCAACTCCAGCCACGTGGGGAGGTAAAACATTTTGCATGTTTTATGCCCTTGCAGGAATACCTTTAGGATTAGTTATGTTTCAAAGTATTGGTGAACGTTTAAATACTTTTGTAGCATATTCATTGCGTTATTGTAAAAAGTGTTTCAAGATGAAAAAAAAGGAGGTAAGGAAAAAGTTTTTTTTTCTCTTTTTCTTTTTCGCTGCTTTTATCCAATGTGGACTGAACAGAAAGCTCATCAATCATGCAATTGTCAATAATGTTTTAATGCACTTTTACGACACTCAGTCTGGATATTGGTCAACACTGAATGACGAAAAAAACTGATTCTACTTCAAAGTATTTTCGTCATACTTTTGATTGAACATTTCTTTTCAATTGTCCAATTTCAATCTCTACTTTTCATTTTCCAATCTTCATTGAAACTTTTCTCTCCTTTTTGCCGGCATTTCTCTGCATTCTTCTCCTCATGAAATGTTGAGATGAAAATTGATTTTCAATTAGACCATTGTTAACTAGATAATCAATAATGCCAGAGTTGCATTTTAATGTCATAATTTGTCTCAACTGTAAACTTTTCAGGTCAACTTTTATTGGAAAAAATTGAAATGGAAAAGTTGAAGATGAAAATTGTTGCCATTAATATCAATATCATTTGCAATGTTTGACTTCTGAAGGTGGACTAAATTTGTCGAGTAAAATTACACAAAATTAAAACGATAATGTTTCGAGAGGGAAAAGGAGAGAAAGAGAAGCAAAGAGTATCATTATTATCGATTTTTTGGCTCAGTTTCGTTTTTCTCCTTTTACTCTTCATCTCATGATACATCCTATTATGTCTGGAAAATTTGAGCTTTAAATGTTTCTTTTTTTGTTCCTTCTTTGCACAAAGTTTACTTTTTTACTATTCAGTTTCACCGTTTACACACCAAAGTGTTTTCAAGTTAATATACATTTGACTGTTGATTGGTTACCATCGAGAACTGGAGAAATCGAGAGAACGAAAAACATCATCAAAAGAGTTTAACTTTTTCTCTTCAACCAACACTGTTCATAACTTTTCTGTTTAACCTTTAATAACATGATATTTATTAACTCATGATGAGCAGATAACATTAAAGCAGAAAATTTATTTTTTTTACGAAGAGAAAAGTTCGAATTGTTTTTCAACTTTACTAATGAATATCCAATTGAAGTGAATTCAATTTAAACAAATTGATCATTCAAGTCAACATTGGTAACCTTTCAACAGCTTGCTTTCAGTCCATTATTTACATGGAACTTTTCATTGAACATTTTTTTTTACTTCGACAATTTGCATTCGATAGAAGAGTTGAAAAGAAGACTAAATATAAATTGTTATCATTATGATTGTCTGATAATGATGATGAACTTCTTCATTCATTTTCTTTTCTCTCTTCATCGTTAAGTCTAATTACGTTTGGGTTGACTGTTCACTGATGAGTTAATAATTTCAACTTGAAAAGTTGCAGTTGTTTGTTTGCCTTTCAACAATCAAAACTGTTATTACCCTTTGCACATGATAACTTTAATGTTGAGAAGAGGAAAAGACGTGAAAAGATGAAACAAGGAACAAAAAAAAGTCAATCTAAATTCAAATGCAAGTTGATTTGAATGATAAAAGGACAATTACGAATCTTGCTATTCCATCAGTTTAAAGTAAAAAAAGGTAACAACTGAAAGAAGAAAATCTTTATAATTCAAGTTTAACGTGATTAAAGTGGCTTCCAAATTTATTTAACAATTTAAATGAAGAGTTGACTCAAAGAGAATTTACGTTCCAAAGATTCAAATATGAATCTATTAAATTCAGCAGACATTTGGAACTTTCATGGAAATTCTAATTTGAATTTTTCCCATTTTCCAATTTACAATTTTCTACTTCACTCCAAGACACTACAAGTTGAGTAAAAGCTCAATTTTAAGCGAATTTTTTTTTCGATTTTTGACTTTTCTTCGAAAGCTGTTCCAAGAGGAAAATAACAATTAATTTTGAGCTTCTTTCCATGTCAAGAATTTCCATTGAAATGGAATGATTAATTGAAACAAGTTGCTTGACTCACGGGCATTTCAGCAACAGTTCAGAAGAGGTCAAGGTTTTCATGGTCAAAAAGAAATTTTGTTTTCTTTCGAAGAAACTTGTTGAAGGAAAACAAATATTTATTGGAAATGAACATTTTCTACTTCAAGTGTAATTTAATGTCGTACCATTTTGATTTTTCATGTGAATACACTTCTTGCTGCTCAATTTTGCCATTTCTTTTTTCAACTTTTCAGATAATTCTATTCAAATTTCTTGTCATGATGAATAAGGGATTGGAAATAAAGCCTTCAAGGCACAAAGTGAATGTTATTTTTATTCGGCTCGTTTCAACTTTTCATTTTCCTCTTTTTTCTCTTTCCATGCTCTTCTTTTTCAACTAGTTTTGCCGTTAGCATCAACTTTATATGTTCAGAGTTTCAATGTCAATTTGAACCGAATGGAATGGCGAATGATAACTTGAAAACTCAAACATAAATCTTTATGACGGACCATCAAGATATTCAAATGATTCTTTTCATCTTTGAATACATAAGTGTATGAAAGTTTCTCTTGCCAACATGGTTCTGAAGAGAAATGAACTTTTGAAAAGAAAAGGTTCTTTAAATTTCGTCTTTTGTTCCATTTCAATTCAATTTTATTTGAATTTAATGTCTTCCAGCAAAGGTTAACAATTTTTTTCCTTTTGTTACTCCTTTTGTGTGCTGCCAGTTTCAGTGGAAATAAGAAGTCCAAATGTATTCATTTAGTCTACTTTTTGTTTTTTTGTTCATCCTTGAAAATTCTGAGAGAAAATGTTTCATCAAATATTTAGCTGAATGCCAGAGAATGGAAAAGGAAATTACTGTTGAAATTAGTTTTTCTTTCATTTTACTCAGTTATGCTCAGTTTTATTATTACTTTTTACTATCATGATAATGAGCTGCTTTGTGAAACCCACAGAGAACTCACGATTTAGTCGTTTTATTTTACTTTGATTGCCTTGATGAAAAGATGTTTAAATTCATCATCAATTATTTTGTTATTTAAAGTTATTCAAACTTGAGAAGGAAATTTTCTGTTTTATGCAAAATGATCAGACTATAGTTGGGAGTGAAACTGCCAATGGAACTGGGAGTAAAACTTGGAGCAAGACTGGGAGTTGAAGAGATTTGCTGGGAGTTTCTCATATTCGATGGATAAATATTCGGCATTGTTCAGTCTATACTGAAAACTGTCACTCAACTGAATTTGCATTTCAACAGAAGCTTTTATCTGCATTATCATGTTAAATATTACAGAAGTTATCATTTTGATCATCACTAGGAAGCTTACATTGACAATAATCTCGACTCAATCGATAGCATTTTCCGTGCATTTCGTATCCATTTTCCGGGTTAGAGAATGAGTTTCAGCAGTGAAAATATCTTGATAATACATGTAATCGTCTTATTGATCCCTTGATAACCAACAAGATAATAAAATGTAATAAAAAATGTTGAGAATAGGAATAAAAAAACTTGACTGAGCATATGAAAATAGGCTGTTGGAAGCAAAGAAATGCCAGTAAAAAAAGCAATGACCAGATGCACTCCCAGTTTAAATAAACAAGATAAATATTCTTAGGAATTTTTCATAATATTGAATACAATCGCATCACCAAATGATTTTGCAACTTGAAATTCAAGTTATTTTCTGCTCGTTTGAAGGCAACAATTTTCAATTGGATTCCCTGTCTGTCTACTTGGAGTCAACCAACTCTTGATCAGATAATGAAAATTTGCTGGGAGTGAAAGGTGGAAAAAGTTGGAAACGAGAAATACAAAAGATGAATGTATTCTTAAATCTCTTATCTGACGAGTAAAAGTTTATCCACATGAATGGTGCAACTCTTATTTATATATCATTATTATTATTATTATTACTATTATGATTACTATTATCATCATCTTTTATCATAATGTTGCATTGAGTTATCTTTTGTTCCAATTCCCTTTGACATTCATTTCATGACAGTGAAATAAAAACAAGGAAGCGAGAGAAAGAGCAGAACAGAAGAGCAGAAAAAAATGAAAGTAAAATATCACAATCCAAAAGGACATGTTCATATTTCTTTTTTATCTTTACCCTGGCTGAATAAATGCTCGATAGAATATCGATCAAAAATTGAAGGCAACAGTCACAAGAATATATTTATATAAATATGATATGATAATAGCAATGATAATGATTACTATGATTGAGAATCGTGATCAAGATGCTTCTACAAATGAAAGGTAAACATTTTTCACTCCCAGCTCTTTAGTCATCAGAACAATCCAAATCATTTTTTTTGCCTCCAACATTTTCTCAGCCAATTCCTTATCAAGAGTATGATAATGATTATGATTACAATGATAATCATTGGTTTATTCACAATTCATATCGAAATTCACTCCGAATAAAAAATGAGCAACGAAAAGAGACTTTTTCATGTTGAGCAATATTACAAATTTCTTCGGTCGTTCGCTTTTCGAGATTTTCTTTGAATAGCACCATGAGGTCACTAGAGGGCAGGACACGATGGAAAGTTCATTGATGATGATTTTACGAAAATGATGAAAACTCTATCCAAAGATGATTGATCTTCTGGGAGCATCAATTTCCTCTTTTATCTTCGCTCAGTTTTCGTCTTTTTTTGTTTTCTTTTCCTATCATCGCAATCTATCCTTACATTTATTTATTTTCCCTCCAAACATCATCATCATCATCATCGTTATCATCTTTTTATTCATCGGTTTTTCTGTTACTTTCTAATGCATAAGTTACAATATTCGCCTCACTAGTTTTCCTCTCTTTTTTTATCAACTCAATTCTGTCTTTTCATGTTTCATTTTGTTGTGTCAATTCTGGATCTCTTTTATTCCATTTTTTTCTTGCTCTTTCTTCCACTGTTACTCATCTTTGCTCCTTTGAATGTTGCTTGAATCGGATAAAGGAAAAGAGTTTGATAGAAACAATGATATTTTTGTCTTAAACTATTAACCTGAATGTTATATCTTCTTTTACTTTCGCCTTTGCTCTAGCTTTTTACTTTCTTGTTATCACCCAAAAACTAATATCATCAATACCAATCTCTAAACAC